ATATATATATCTCTCTGTTTTTATTTAGTTTTATTTAAGTTTTAGTTATTTTACAGTAGTTAATCAAGTTAAACTAAATACAAATGAGAAAAGATGTCTTGGTAACTAGCTGAATATTTTTAAAATGTATTTTATTTTATTTCAGCTAAGGTTTATTTTATTTCAAGCAACGAAAATGTTTATGGCTTTAGATTCGGTAAACTATAACAACCCTGCTCAAATCACACTCTCAGAAATGTCATTAAGGTGATCTTACGTCAGTGGCCGCAGTAAGGATCTTGGACAGGATGACTCGCGCGAGTCCGTCTCTGCTGTAGTCCAGAGTGGAGACCGTTAGTTTCAGCAGGTGATCCTGGTTTTTCATCGAGCACAAGCTCAACAGACTGCACAAAACAAATCAAAACCAAACACAGTTAACACAAAGTAAAAGTTAAACATGATAATATAAACACTTTTTCTAAATTTCCAATGTTAATAACTGTGGAAATCTATTTGTGGAAAATGTTCAAGTTTTGCTGGAACACTACATTTTTGTAAGGTATGTTTTTTGTTTTTTTCCTGAACATGGTACTGTTGTACATTTATTATGAATGTTGTTATCAGTACTTTTTCATATGCCAGAATAATAAAGTTTACTGGGAAACTAAACATTAAATTGTGTGTGTTCTCACCACTGAAATACGCCACATTTCTCCAGCATTTTGACTCCGGCCGGCTGTGCAGACAGAGTACCCAGAAACAGGAAGTAGTGCTGACTGAGGGTGCTGAGGAGGCCGTTGCTATGGAGACTGCGTTCAGATTTAAGCCCAGAAGAGGATGTGAGCCACTGGACGATATCCTTCACGAGCTCCTCTAGATACACCTGACCGTCCTACAAAAACAGAAGAACATTAACCAAGTTAACTACTGTTGTGCTTCTTTTGGAGTAATTTAGCAAAGGCTCAAAGGTCTTCATTTCTCACCTCTTCTGAATCCAAGAGGAACTGGTTGAACTGGCAGCCTGCTACCGTCAGTTGTCTGGCTTTGGCATGATCCAGCTCCAGAGCCGAGTACAGCTTACTGCTGGGCTTATAGAAATACAGCAACCTCCTTACAAACCTACATACAAACAAACATAGAGGTTAGAGATGTAGTCTGTGGTTAGTGCTTCTCAAGAAACTGCAGCACATGATGTTCATGATAGGTCAGCACATGCTGGTCTTACTTGTGCATCTGCTCGTCCTTGTTGTTTCTGAGGTTCACATTTGGCCACTAGAAAGGAAAAACAACACAGTAAGATTTTCTTAATGCTTCTTAAAGAAGTCTCTTATGCTCACCAAGGCTGCATTTATTTGATCACAATTCAGTGAAAACTGTAATATTGTGAAATATTATTACAACTTAAAATAGTTGTTTTCTATTTGAATGTATTTTAAAATCTAATTTATTCCTGTGATCAAAGCTGAATTTTCATCATCATTACTCCAGTCTTCAGTGTCACATGATCTTCAGAAATCATTCTAATATGCTGATTTGCTGCTCAAGATACATTTATTAATTTCAATGTTGAAAACAGTTGGGCTTTGCTGAATAGAAGTATGAATTACTTTATAAAACAAACATACAAAAAAACTAATTTTGATCAAATGTTTTTGCTTATAATTGCCTTAAAACTGCCTTGCCTTTTTGCTTAAAATGGCATTACCTTTCTTTCTTTAAATAAATGCCACTTGATTTGATATTTTATTTAATGCACTGACATTCAGACTTTTAAAAGTGTCAGGGGTGACTGTATTGCTCTGTTTGTAACAGCACATTACCATACTACATGCAATTTCTGAAATATGCAGTATGTTAGTCTCACTTCTTCACTCACCATTTGATTTACAGTAACTGCTACAAAGATGAGACATTTTTACATGAAATTACATAAAAAATGCAAAAGATGTTATTTCAGGAATTAAAGAATGTAATTTCCTGAAGTAAACACGCAATGTAGTAACTTCAAGTCACAACAATTTAGCATTGTTCTCTACGAAATTACAATTTGTTCATCATTACGGTTTTACATACTATTTTTCAAAAATAGTAGGCAGTAGACAGAATACTTTACAGTATGTAGTAAGCATTACGATACCATTCTATCAGGAAGAGTGAGTTGGGCCTGTTTCTCTTTTACCTTCAGTATAGTGATGATCAGAACCCAGTTCCAGTCCAGGTTCTGTTTGTGATTTAGGATCTGACTGTCCCTCAAGTTCATCATCAGCGCCTCTTCAGTGTCCTACAGCACACAAACAACTCAGAAACTTCTGTTGTACCTTATTATATGAAATTAATAAATATATACAGTGCATGAATTTCACCAAAAACATGTCCAGGTCATAAACACACCACAAAAAAAAAAAAAAAATGTTTTTTTTTTTTTTATTAAAGTATGCATGTATTTGTCCTGCTCTGCATTTGTATTGGTTGTTGAAAAAAAATTAGAGGAAATGGTGGTGAATTTTCCCCCTCTTTGCAGCTTCCTCCACCGGCTCATTTCCTGATGGCAGCGATTCGTCCCGTTCAGACACTCCAGTTCGGAATCCCACTGGAGGCGGAGCCCCGGAGTCTAGTCCCGCCCCCACAGTGGAGCAGCCTGGTAGGACGTCCCTCAGCGTAGTCCCCGCCCCCAGCAGGATTCCCAGCATGGTCAACCCTTGTCCGCTGCCGTCTGGGTACGTCAGTAAACAGAAGCGCCGGTTCCTCCTTACATAGAGAAAAAACACACAAAAAAAAAAAAAAAAAAAAAAGTTTTTTTTTTTTTGCATAAATAAATGAAGCCTATTGATAGAATCATTAAATAAACAAATACATTTAAATAAAATATTTTTTACATTGTGATATAATTATCATGACAAGTAAGCACATTTTGAGCCACAAACTGTCAATATTATAATGCATCTGTATGTTTTAAATGTTTAATTCCAATTAGTCAAAGGTGATTCATCTTAATGTACTTAAATGTTAATTAATGCAATTAATTTAACAGAATGTTACATGTAATAAATCAATTTAATTAAATACAAATAATATTATTTTTTAAATCTGTAAAAATTCAAGCTAGTACAACATATGTCTTTTTTTTACAGTAATGAGAGTCTGATTTGAAATGTGGCTGAGTGTCTTATGTGACAACTCAAAAAATCTTAATGGTCCTAAATTAGGCAACATTTTCTTAAAACAAAATCTAATTTCTTCTTTCTTTCTTTTGATTTTGGGGTGAAATGATCTGGATATAGTGACAGTGCGTGTACCTTCATAATACAGATGTCCTTCTGTGGACGCTGGTGCTGCTCTCTCTTGTGAGTGGAGTTGGACGTCCTGCGCAGGATGTGATCCAGGTAAAGACTGTAAGGTTTGGGGCCATGACGTTTCTTTTCGTGGAAACGCTTCAGGTGGTTCACAGCTGCACTGGCATGTCTGGAAAACACAAGATTCAAAAGAATAAAAATGCATCGCCTGATAGTGCAGAATGCAGAAGACACATGCTTACGGATTCTTGTTTGTGTGTGCGTTTGCATCGTTGCACTCACAGCCGTTTCTCCTGAGAGATGTCAAAGGAAGCAGCCATGTTGATTAGCGTGGGCAGACAGTGCAGATGATGACTGTGAGAGTGAGGAAGAATCGTATTGGCCTGGAAGAGAGAAGAACTATTATGTAGACACAGGTGAACAAATGTGACATTTTAGGTACAAAAATAAAGGCTAAAAGGGAAAATTATACAGCAGACCAAACGTGTGTCTAAAATGTACTCGTCAAGTGACAAACGCAAGAGAGAACTAACTTTGGCAAGTAAACAAATATACATTTTTACAATTGCAACATAATATATGGTTTAAATCAAAATGTAAAACAAAATGTAATCCAAATGGTTTACTAAATAACAGATCAGTGACTGCGGTGCATCTTCCAACTTTTACATTTTGTTTTTCATTTTAATTTATGGTCAAAAGTTAATATAAGAAAGACGTTTTGGGATCATTAAAGATTTTCTGCATTGTTATTTTTTCATAAAGTGTTATTTTAGTATTATTTAAATAAAATAGCATTTATTACTAATTTTGAATTAGCTTTTCTATTTTCAGTTTTTAATTTGTATTAATTTTGTTTTTATTTCTAGTTAGCTTTAATGTATTTTTATTTCAGTTTTAGTTTTAGTCATTTTAGTTATTCAGCTTAAACTTATTTTAAGTTAGTTGCCAAGGCAACATTTTTAATTTTCATTTAAGTTTTAGTAACATTATAATTTATATTTAAAGGGGTCATATGATGTTGCTAAAAAGAACATTATTTTGTGTATTTGGTTTAATGAAATGTGTTTATGTGGTTTAAGGTTCAAAAAACACATTATTTTCCAAATACTGTACATTATTGTTTCTCCTCTATGCCCCGCCTTTCTGAAACGCGTCGATTTTTACAAAGCTCATTGTTCTGAAAAGCGAGGTGTGCTCTGATTGGCCAGCTATCCAGTGCGTTGTGATTGGCCGAATACCTCAAGTGTGTGATGGAAATGTTACGCCCCTTACCATACTGTGATGATGCCGTCAGGCTGGAGTGATGAGACAAAAACATTAAAACCCATTATAAACAAGGCATTTCTAGTCGTGTCCTCTTTTGGAAGGCCAAACAAAGTAGTTTCGCTTTCACAACGAAATACACAGCGTCACACACAGCGTCACACACGGAGGGTTTGATTGAGCGGCGGCCGGAGGCCTAGAGTGAGCGGAGGCCGGCTTGAGTAAGTGGCGGCTGGCGGATTCGACGAAGGAGCGGCGGCGGGCAGCTGACTCTTAACTTTTATAAAGAATATCTCTTTGGATTTGAGACTTTAGTCTTTGCAACTTTACAGATCTTCTTTATGCACCAAGATCTTGTAACACTTCAAAGAGAAAGGAAAAATTGAAATCGCATCATATGACCCCTTTAAAATATACATTTTTAAGATTTGTTTTATTCAGCTTTGTCAGTTACCAAATTTTGTTTAGTAGTTTTCATTTTTGTTTTAGTTAACAATAACAATGCTACCATAAAGAAAATAAATCAACGTTGTTCACTAACACCACCAAAATGAGAAGAATTGTTACAATGTTACATAAATAAAAGTTTTATGAGCAATTTAGAGCTTTTATGAAAATAAAACTACATTTGTGAACAATTTATAAAAACACAATAAGCTGCCTAGTGCCTAATAATAAATATTACAGAACACAAGTTCATGGCCCCATAATAAATATTTATGGAGTGTAAAAAGGTCATTTTGGGCCCCATTTACAGGTCTGAAGTAATGCAGTACCATGTGCAGAAGTTCTCCGAGCAGTATGGTGGCTCTCACTGATATCCGTCCATCACTGCTGGTCACCACCTCCACCAGACCCTGAGCAAACAAAAACATTATCATTCGAAACATCACAGATCCATTCCAATAAAGTTAAAGGTGACATATCATGAAAATCTGACTTTTCCAGGTTTTAAGTGCTATAATCAGGTCCCCAGTGCATCTACCAACCAAGGTAATGTGAAAAAGATTAACCCAGTAACTTTGTTTTGGGAAGCCTTTTTCTGCAAGCGTCTGAGAAAATGAGCGCGTCTGATTTCGCTCCCTTGGTGACGTGGCAAAGGGATCTCATTATAATATTACGTCTGAGAAAACGAGCGCGTCTGATTTCGCTCCCTTGGTGACGTGGCAAAGGAATCTCATTATAATATTACCGCCCCTTAATCTGTAAGTTTACACCCATGGCGCCGTCATTTTGATTTCGCAAGCGACAACGGTGTACCAGCTCTAATGCCACGGCGAAAGTTTGAGCAAAACATGCTAACTGTTCTGTCTTTGGCTGCACAGACGAGCACAGAACACTGTTTAGAGTCCCAGCCTCAGAGGAGACAACAGAGCAGTGGATTTATTGATTTATTTACTGTATATTGCTGCTGCCACACAGATCTAAAATAAACATGCGATTTATTTCCCAGCTGTTTACCTTCACAGACATAACCGACTGTTTTTTGTATCTCATGTGTGTTTTTAACGTAAACTTGTGTGAATGAGAACTTAGTTTAGTACTCACATGCCTGTGACAGCCGCTTTCTGTCGTGTGCTTCGGATGTGTGCACTCAGAAAATAGTATATCAGAAGTTTAAACTCATATGGTTTAAAACGCATGATTTCAGTGAGATAAACATGACAATCAGAACCAAAACAGATGTTTTTTTAGCAGGTACGAGCTGTAATGGAGCAGCTCTATTCTAGAAAAAGGGGCGGGGAGCAGAAGCTCATTTGCATTTAAAGAGACAGGCCCGAAAAAAAGCTGTTTCTGCTTCCACTCAAAAATAGCATTTTCAAAATTATTAAATAAATGATTTGTGGAGTATTTTGAGCTGAAGCTTCACAGACACATTCTGGGGACACCAGAGACTTATATTACATATTGTAAAAAGGGGCATAATATGTCTCCTTTAATAAAGTTAATCAAGCATCCATCAGGTGATCCTGTGATTATATACCTCCAGTAGTCCACTGTTGATAAAGGCAGACAGCAGTAGTGCCAGGTAGTTGTCCATGAGGTCTGGTCTGGTGAAGGACAAAAGAAGAACATGAATACAAGATTTAACCCAGAATATTCCAGTATTACAGTCAGGCTCTGTGTCTCACCTGGATCGTGCTCTGTGAGGCAATATGACTTTGGCTTCTGCAGCTACAAACCCATCAGAGAGTCTCCAGCTGTCCTGAAACTTGCTGGGGTCTGAACGGCACAAACATTAGCATGAAGCGTACGTCCCAGACAGAAAGAGCAACATGCAAATCAAAGATCTGCACAGAGTTCACAGATACTCCTCCACAGCAGTCAGTGAGGCGTTTCTGATCAGATGAAAAGCGTTTATGAATCAAGGTGCTTCTTACCCACGCTGTGCAGCGCTTCCTCAAAATCTCCTGTCACTATAGGAACAGGCAATCTGAAGATCTCGTACATGACTTCTAATAAGGCTTTCTGCAGACACAAAAATACATTGACAGATTCGACAGATTGACAGTGAATCATCTCTTTAGAACGGTCCATTTCAGTAAATCGGTCAAAAACTATGTTTAAACACTCCAAATCATCACTGAAATGGCATTTAATGCACTTAATGTTTTATGTTTAATTTAATGCACTATAATGTTTTAGTTAAAATATATGTAGGTAAATATTGTATTTTATCAAAAAAAACAGTAAAAACAGAATATTGTGAAATATTACCATTTAAAATAACTGTTTTCTATTTGAATATATTTAAAATTTAATTTATTCCAGCGATCAAAGCTGAATTTTCAGCATCATTACTCGAGTCGTCAGTATCACATGATCCTTCAGAAATCATTCTAATATGCTGCTTAAGAAACATTTAAACATGTCACATGTTAGTCTAAATAAATAAAAGCATTTAAAACTCACCCTGACTTCCATGTTTGGTATACAGAGCAGGCCTATCAAAGACTGGACCCCTGAGTTTCCTGATTTACACAGGTTTATAATACCTGCAGGAGAACAGCAGAGGAGAGGGATGAAGAGCAGAAGTGAAGAACGTTTCCCTTTTCTACTCTTTAGATGAAGATGCAGTAGATTTCATACCTGACCATGAGCGGAAGGCTGCAACAATAGCCATTTTACTGGATAAAAAACGAGCTTCTCTGTCTTCCCTATGGGACACAATGATTCATAAAACAGTCAGAAACACACACGCTTTGTGTGCCATTGAGAAGATGATCAGCTACACCTGATTGAGTTTACAAGTCATTTTTAGGAGGGGGTGATCCTTTTTCCAACTGATTTGATTCTGGTTTTTTTCTGACATGTTGGTGTTATATCTTTCACTTGGATGGTTTCATGAATAAATACAGCTGGATAAAACAAAAACTCTGTCCGTACACACACACATATATATATATATATATATATATATATATATATAAAGAGAATAAAATTTAAAACATTTTTGAAATGTAAACTAAAATATAATAATTATTTATATAAAATAATGTTTTGAGTTATTTATTTTATTTATCATGTATCGCCATGTCAGCAGCAATGGCTATATTCATGGCAAAAACAATTAATTACATCACTCAATCAATTCAATCAATATCCTTTCAATATAATATTTACAATAATTTAACAATTTTGTCTTTAAAAAGTCAAAATACAAAAAAAAAAGTTTTTCAATATTACTTGAAATAAATATTTTGACTTAAATATAATTTTGATATAAATAAATAAACACCAACAAATAAATGGAATAAAAGTAAAAATACTTTGAAAAATGCAAACTTATCAAAAATGTTGTCTAATGAATTAATAAATAAAACTATCAATTTAATCAATCAATCATTTAAAATGTAATCAAATTAAAATATAATAATTAATTATTTTTAATGTAACATCTTTAATTATATTTTACATATTTGTTAAGATACAGATACATAATCAAAATATAAACACACAACTCACTTGATTTGTGCCTCTGCTGTGTCAGGGTTATGTCTGTAGTGAAAGTCTGTGTAAGGTGCGAGAATTTGCTGGAAAGAAAAAAAAAACAAGACAACTTTGATATTTTATTTTTTTTTTTCACTTAGATCAGTGGTCTCAAACTCAATTCCTGGAGGGCCACAGCTCTGCAGAGTTTAGCTCCAACCAGCTCCAAATCACACCTGCTTAGAAGTTTCTAGTGATCCTGAAGACCTTGATTAGCTGGATCAGGTGTGTTTGATTAGGGTTGGAGCTAAACTGTGCAGAGCTGTGGCCCTCTAGGAATTGAGTTTGAGACCAGTGACTTAGATCCTTAACGAGTTTATATGGGGAACAGAGAAGAGGAAAAATCAACGGGGAATGATGCAAGCCAGATTAAACCTGCGCCCCAACGAACATGTGGACTGCACAGTGCCGCTGCATGTACACATACCTCCAGTTCAACATCGGCGCGCATGTACTGGCGTGTGTGCGGGTGATTGAGCAGGTGCAGTATGGTGGTGATCAGGGCCTCGTTGATGCGGCTCAGCTGGCAGTCGATGACGTTCTTTAGGATGGTGTTCAAACCCCCCCGCTGGGCCACAATCTCTGGGTTCTTCAGTGCTGGATGACGAGAGAATACAATCATATCAAACAAATGTATATAAACAATATACATGCATACGACAAATTCCTATATAGTGTAAAATAATATAAGACTGGGCGATAAATCAATACTGGCATTTACTGACAAAATAAATCTACAATATTGATAATGAACTTTCAAATAATTTCCAATATTTAGCCCACATCTAGACGCTCAGATACATGTCGCCGAAAAGTTTGCATGTTCTTTGTGTGAATGTCTGTCCACATAAACTTCATCAATTTGATAAGAGATCATTTGTACCAAAAAAAGGTCTTCACTACAAACTGCTAAAATACAGATTTAGTTTAACTTAAAGAAATTATGGCAGAAATATATTACTGTTGTATAGTAAAATGTACTTTTCAAAGCTCCTCATAACAATAATAATCATATAACAATGTATTTGCTTTACATGGATTATTATTATTAAGGAAAAAACAATTAAACCAGATATTTTTCATACATTAAAATCTCACAAGATCCATAAAATCATACAGTACAAACATTAATTTGTACTAAATCATAAAACACAAACCCCCCAAATAGGATATTTATTTAGTCAGTCTAAAATGGGAAAGATCAAAGTAGTTTAAAAGAAAAAACGTTTCTTATATTACATTAAAAAAACGTTGAAAATAAAACTTTTCAAATCTTTCAAATTAATATTTCAAATCTCACAAGATCCATAAAATCATACAGTACAAACATTAATTTGTACTAAATCATAAAACACAAACCCCCCAAATAGGATATTTATTTAGTCAGTCTAAAATGGGAAAGATCAAAGTAGTTTAAAAGAAAAAACGTTTCTTTTATTACATTAAAAAAAACTTTGAAAATAAAACTTTTCAAATCTTTCAAATTAATATTTCATAAGAATTCTAAAATGTTCTAAAATTCTAAACGCATTGCCTAGAATATGCATCACCCTTATATCAATCTATAATAGAACTGTAATCCATAAAATCTTTTTCAACTGTTCATTCACTCTCCTAAATGAGCAGCATTGATCTGAGGTGTGATACATGCTAAAGTTTAAAACTAACCTCAAGTGTGAGCAATAATAATAATAATAATAGTGATGCTTGTCTTAACAAACGTGACACTTCTAACTCACCAAGTTCACAAATGATGGCGATGCAGGCTCGAACCATGCGATCTCTCTCCTGCAGCCCATCGTTCCCCACCGCGATCAAAGAGTTTGTCAAAGAGCTGGGAAAGAGCTGTGCGTTCACTGTTATCATCTGAACGAGGAAAATAACAGATTGAGATGAAATTCACCCAACACAAAAACCATACACAGCTTATACTGATTGCAAGAGTGCTAAACAACGAGCAAGAGGTTAGAGATCGTACCTTTCTGACCAGTCTGAGGGCTTGAGTTCTCTCCACCTCATTACTTTGCTGAATGTCAATACACCTGAACACAGATCAACACATGAGAGACATTCAAACATCTCATCTGAGGCTTTCTGACCAGGACACTGAGGCTGAAGGTCAAGTTCACCCACCAAATATGTTCACATTTTAATTTTACACTGAAGGCAAGCAAATTATTTCATAAATCTCAGATGAAATATGACAAAAGACAGTAGTGCATCTACATTATCAATTTGTTTTGTAAAGGAAAGCCACTTTTATTTCTATAGAGCTCTATAACAGTGCAGGTTGTTTCAAAGCAGCTTTATAGTAATAAACAGGAAAATAACAGAATCAATAGCTATGTTTCCATCCAAAGCTGTGAATTTAACTTGGAATATTGCATAAAACATTTACGAATAAAGCACAGTTTCCATCCATGAGTCAAAGAGTACAAAAACATATCTTCCTCATAAATTGGCACTAAATATCACTAAGAAAAGCAGGAGAAGCCACTGAATATAATAATTCTCACATATAATAAATAACTTGTGCCTCAGAGCGATCAGACGAAACACAATAAATGCGGTCGTTGCTTTCAGAGCTGGATGCTTGCTGTTTGGGAACGCAGTCATGTAAGACAGTTCTGGGAGGCAATTATACAGAAATACTTTGATGACAGACTTTGCTCAGGCATTTCAGAATTACCATAACAACATTTCAGATGCTGTGCAATGAGATCGGTCCGCTGGTTAGTCAGGTTATGCTGTCCCATCGCGCAAAGTCACATGACTTTTTAGATTGCATAAAGCAAAAAGCTGGGCAGAGTACGTATCCGTTTAATAGAAAAGCTCTGATTTGGGGGGTTTGAGCTCTTGATATCTGGCAACAGCAAACATGAACGCTCGCATAATAGAGTCTTGTAGAGCAGTCTGAAATGTTTTGGCTCCACTTTTTTCAACAAAAATAAAAAGGTTTTGGTAAAGTTGTTCTTTTAACTACATTTTAGTCTCGTCTTTTTTGTCAATGATACTGCATGTTCATTTAGTCTCAGTTATCGTTTAATGACCTTATCATCGCCTCGTCATCGTCTCGTTTTTGTCTGGGGGAAAAACTTCATTGACGAACATTTTTCATCATAGATTTCATTGACACTATATTTTTAAGTCAAAAACCACCTCAAGCGGGCGTAAAAACTTTTTTGTGAATTAATTAAATTAAATTAAATTCAAGTTTATTTGTATAGCGCTTTTCACGATACAATTCGTTGCAAAGCAGCTTTACAGGAAATTAAGGATTTTTTTCCCCAAAATTTGGCATTTCCTTCACTCGTTTCTGATGTGATACTTCAAAATACGTATAAAAACAGGATGATGGAAACTTCATCAAATATGACACTAATTCCAATTCTGCTGTAAAGCAACTCTAAAAAAGACAATAGTGTCATTATCCAGTGCAGTGAAACAAGTTCATTTAAAAGCAGCTCTGCTGAAGACAGTAGTAACATTACTCGGCTCAAGTCATTTCAGTGTTGATTCAATTCAGTTCAATAACACTGTTGATGTTGCAAAAGTTGTCAATTATAAAACGAATTAAATTTGGCAATATTTGGCTTCATTCAGCTCAATTTGGCTCAAGTTTTGCTTTCATCTGATTGTATCAATCATTGTGGTCAAATCAATATTATTACTTTTAAACCTAATGAAATTGTAAAACACTGAGGACCAGTGTTGGGGAAAGTTACTTTTAAAAGTAATGCATTACAATTTTGCGTTACTCCATACAAAAGTAACTAATTACGTTACTTAGTTACTTTTTATGGAAAGTAATGCGTTACGTTATGTTTGCTTTACTTTTTAAATCTGGACAGGGCTTGCTTGTTTGTTTTTAAAATAAAAAAGTTCTATTTTTGGCAAATATAAAAGCCTTTTCACACCAAAAGTGAAATGAATAAGCCTCAGGCTGAAGGGAAAGTCAATTTACGTCCATACAGTAGAATGCAGAAGAAGACATTTCAACACACTTCAGCAATAAAAAAAGACACACGAATGTTTGTCTAGAGTAATTTTAGCTTTAGTATGGTTGAACTGGATCATCGAAGGTCAGAAGCAAAGGCATTGCTTAATAGAATGGGATTAAATACATAAAGGATATTTGTGTTGTTTAACATTTAATTATTGCAGGTTTGCGTCATATTCTGAGTTGCATTATTTTTATTAATTTTGAGGAATACTGAATCTGTGTTGTTTTTTTTTGTGAGTGAGATGAATTCATGCATTTCATATTTATTTTAGAACTACAGTAACAACTTCTGATTTCTCTCAACATGGGGACAAGAGAGCTGTCAATCAATAAATTGGAAGAAAAAAAGTAACTTGCGTTACTTAGTAACTCAGATATTCTCTTGTAAATTAAAAAGTAATGCATTACTTTACTAGTTACTTGAAAAAAGTAATCTGATTACGTAACTCGCGTTACTTGTAATATATTACCCCAACACTGCTGAAGACACAAAACAGGTGTGTGAACTCACCTGGAGACCAGGTAATCCACCTGCAGCTGAAGAAATTTCTGGAGGACACTACTATCATGGATCAGATACCTTAGTGCTCTCAAACCTGCAGCCCGAACCTCCTTCACCTCATTCAACAACGCTACACGCAGACTAAAACAATAAAGAGAGAATGAAAAACACAAGAAGAGCACTACAAATCAGTCATCTGTGAGATTCCATGATGTTTGGGATGTAATCTCAGAAGGCAGCTGTCTACAGTATGTAGTCAGCAATGAGCTCACTAGGTTTTGGAACGCAGTAAGATATAGTTCTACTTACCAAATGATGATTTCCTCATATGTAAATCCTAATTTCTCTTCACAGTGACTTACACTGTTCAGGAGCTGAGAGAGAAAGAGAGAGATGCTCATCACAAATATTCTTGCGCTAAGTCAGAGAGTTTATTAGACTGTTAATGGTTAATGCATTCATATAAAATCATGCTCACAGTGTACACTACTGTTTAAAAGTTTAGGGCCAGAAAGATTTTTTTTTAAGAAATGAATACTTCTATTCAGCAAGGATGAATTCAACAGATCAAAAAATGACAGTAATATATTTGTGTTATGTTAATGCTGTTATTCTGAACTTTCTATTCATCAAAGAATACTGAAAAAATATATCACAGTTTCCACAAAAATATTAAGCAGTGCAACCGTTTTCAAGATCGATAATAATAAGAAATGTTTCTTGAGCAGCAAATCAGCATATTAGAATGATTTCTGAAGGATCATGTGACACTGAAGACTGGAGTAATGATTATTGATTACATCACAGGAATAAATTACATTTTACAATATATTCAAAAATAGTATTTCACAATATTACTGTTTGTACTTAAATAAATACAGCCTTGGTGAGTAAAGAGACTTCTTTCAGAAACATTAAAAAAAAATCTTACCGACCCAAACTTTTACGTTTTATAAAAGAATTAAAATAGAAATAAGGAATTTTCTTACAACACTATTTTCATTAATTCATTAAGTGTCATCATCCCACTAGAACATCTAGTTTCTGACATATAAACAAAGGTTGATTGGTGGCTGTGCTAATATACTGGGTATTTTAGCGCAACTGGAATGTTGTATCAACCAATCAGGATCCAGGACAGAAAATATGCATTTATAACTATATACTCTTTAAAACTTAAAGAATTCATTCTTTAAATTCTTTAAAAGCTGTTTCGAAAGTGAACAAAGTTGCAAAACCTGATGAGATGCATAAACTGAACCGAGAAATAAAAAGTGAGACAGACACATCAATAATTGCACTAAGCGGACCTCACAGTGTAAAATTAGTCTCCTAAACATGTTTGTGTGTGTGTGTTACTGAGGAGCGTAACGACCTTGGCAGGTTAAGCATGCATATGTATGCGTTTATGATGATGTCAGAGCTCAGGCAGTCAGAAGGGGTCATGTGACTCTCAGTGAGGATTAAATCTCCTCTATCTCAGCATCCTTAACAGGCCACACACAGCACTCATGCACACACACACCAATTGAGTTATTATTCACCAAAGCTGAGAAAATCCCACTTAAACACACACACACACAAACAAAACCTGCACACATACTTCTGCACTAACAGTCTTACATTTAACCTCAGTCCCACTGAGATGAAACTCTCACACACAAAACAAACTCGCTCAGAAAGAAAGTGAGAGGAGGCGCCCACTAAGACAAACAACCCGACAACACACACACACACACACACACACACACACACACACACACACACACACAGCCTGCTGTTGTTTACTGTGTTACAGATCTGCTCACAGGACCAAGCCTTAAAAACAGTGCCTTATAGTCACATTTAGCAGATTAGAATTGTGCGATAATATAGTTACATTTTGCAATGATAGGAGCAATCATGCATTTGAGATTTGCTATATAGTATATAACGCTTTACGTACATATATTTTATGTATGCGGGTAAATGTGGATGTATTAGCTATATATCCAACCGCCAAGTCTCAATGCTATTCTAGTTTCTAGATACAAGTTATAAGCCATAATGTAATATTTTTCATTTAAAGCGAGGTACTATATACAAAACTTTTTTTTTTTTTTATCCACTGATTAATTTTGGGCTATTTTTTCCTCCATAACATGTCTTCTTTCAGACTAGTGGTAAGAAAACATCCAAAACACACATTTAAGTGTCTATTTTATTATACTTTACCTGTAGATTTCAATTACTATTTCAATGTTCAGTTCTGGAAATGTATGAAAATTAGTGCATATTTAATATAACAACTCCTAATTTTCATATTTGAAACAACACATTGCAGAAAACCTGCATTATAAAAGAATTGTCTTAATGTCCTCTGATTAATCAACTGGAGAAGTATGGTGATATCTATTAGTTACAGTTTTACCCTGGGTCTTGCCTTAAAAGCTTAAGGCTTAAATACAAAAATGAGTTCATGCAATGCAGATCAAGTTCAGGGCCACTCAGAATATTTGGCTGCAGAATTCGCAAAGCATTTTTTGGCTAATTTAACAATGCTTTCAGCGATCAATAAGAATGAAGTGTTCTTAATTTAAACTTAATTTAACCATGTTTACATTTAGCATATTTTGCCCCAAAATCAGTGCAAAAACTGTGAAGAAAGTCTTCAGATTCCATGCAGACCTGGTCATGATCTTCTCTCATCATTAAAATCATACGCAAGAATGAACAACCAGCATAAATGAAAGTTGCACTACCTTAACAAAGTTGTTCAGGTGGCCAAGCTTCCTCATGTTGGAAACCCCGTGAGATTTGGCAATGTTCTGAAGGATCTCACGCATGTTATCTGAGGGTTCTGTAGAAAGCAAAAACCATAAATTAAAATCCTCAAAAAACATAAGGTTAATAGTCAGTTACTGCTAACATATATTAGGTATTCAGCATCCAGGACAGGAAATATGCATATAATAGTTTATTAAATGTGTTATTATTCTTTAAAATCTCTCTTATCTAACAACATAAATATATCACATAATGTGTCTCCATATCCACTAGGAAGCATCACTTTCCCTGTGCAGAACTCAAAAAACCTCTTGCGTGCGAGTGATATTTGCACATACGTGATATTATGATCTAAATTCAGCAAACTTTTCCCTGCTCTAGTCTTTATTTAGTACATTTCTCAAGAGAGACGTCAAACCCACTGGCACGGCAAGATTCATCAAGATCAGGCTCATCAAAGACTTTTTGCACCAGCTTAGATGAATCAAAGTCTGAAGTCTTAAAACACAGACTTGATAGGCAGCATGCAAAGATGTGAGGGCATCAACTGTTTACTGATACAGCCTAACCGAGCTGAATGCACTGCAGCTATTCTGCTGACATGCAGATGTTTACTAGACAACACAAACTGATGGGGCTGTGTGTGCACTACAGATCAAAACAACACCTGGGCCCCAAATCCTAGTGAGCTGCCTAGCTAGACAGCATTTTTCAGGCATCACAGGCGTAAATAACGCGGTCTATGTAGGCAACCTATTAGGTTTAGAGACAGTCAACATCTCATTCAGCCTCATTCTTCTGTCTGCACAGATGGGAAATCACTAATGACAATTTCTTGGATTTAAGGGGAATCTGATCATTTCTTGGTTATTATTACAGGGAAGCATTATGGCGACTCTCACCCCGCGTAAGATCCAGCGGTACATTCTCTTCCCCGCTGTCATTCCGACCTGTCAAACACACAAAAATCGACACAATAAAGACACTGTGAGGCCTTATCCGAGATTTAACGGATGCTACACAAGCAGAGGGCTATAAACAGCGCCGGCTGCGCGCGATAACCGGGGTGTGGGTGCCGTTAACTTGCCTCTCATCCGTACACTCCGGGTCGGACGGCCGCGGATGCTGACCGCCATGTTGGCAGGGACGTTCATCATCACAACACCGGAACTCTCGTAACCTCTCGCGATGCTTGAGAGCAGACGATTTTATATACACAAATCGAAGTACTTGAAAGTGAAACCTAGTTTTTATGTACTTCATAATGAGATTCTTTCCTATACAAAGCTTTTAAGATGATGTAAAATAAAAATGAAATAAAACATTTAGCTATAATAGAATATAATTTGCAAAATAAATCCTTGTTAATTTAATTATTAATTAATTTTAATTACTGTTATGTAAAGAGTGTTATTTTTTACCATGTGTTTGTCAAAAAAGTCAAGCGATGCTGAAGGAAATTTGAAGCTTTTCTCCGTGTAAGACAAAACAAATATGTAATGTGGTAAGAAAAAATTTTAATATATATATATATATATATATATACATATATATATACACACACACACACTGGTGTTCAAAAGTTTGGGATCAGTAAGATTTTTTATGTGTTTTAAAGAAGCCTCTTCTGTTCACCAGGGCTGCATTTATTTGACAAAAATACAGAAAAAAACAGTAATATTGTGAAATATTATTACCATTTAAAATAATGGCTTTCTATTGTAATATATTTTAAAATATAATTTATTTCTGTGATCAAAGCTGAATTTTCAGCATCATTACTCCAGTTTTCAGTGTCACATGATCCTCCAGAAATCATTCAAATATGCTGATTTAATATCAATGTTGGAAACAGTTGTTTATTTTAAGTATATTAAAATAGAAAACCATTATTTTCAATTGCAATAATATTTCACAATATTACTAGTTTTCTGTATTTCTGATCAAATAAATGCAGCCTTGATGAGCAGAAGAGACTTCTTTAAAAACATTAAAAATCCTACTGATCCCAAACTTTTTAACGGCAGTGTGTGTGTATGTATATATATATGTATATGTATATATATATATAAAGAAGAAAAAAAACAAAAGACAGGATCACAAATTACTTTATTCCTACTCAGGTGACTTTATATATACATTTTATAATATTCACTATATATCATTCTCAAACAATGCACAGTTATTTTGGTGAAAGAATTAATGACAAATAAGTATGTTGAAAGATGATAAAAACACACTAGACGGGTTTATCCATGCTTAGTCATTGTCGTAGATGCACTCTGTAACAAATAAGTAGAAAAAAATCATTGCAGTACAAAATGATGACTAAATATACTTTCATCAACTGTAGCTGTGCACGTTAAACCTTACCGTCACCAATATCATCATAAACAGAGGCGTCCCTTAGAGAGGAGAGGAAGTGAGACAAAAAATAAGAAGCTGTGGTCAACCGATCGGGCATTAAAATGAAATCAAAATGGGCGATGTGGCATTGCAGAATTTTACACAACATTTACTCAAAATTCACTAATATTCACTATTATTCAGGCATATCAAATTAGCCAAGTGTGCTTAGAAAAGCAAAAACTGTAGCTACTGACTGGGGCGAAAGAAACGATCTCAAAAAGATCGTCTCACCAGAATAGAAATAGAAATGAACAGCAAGACTATACTTACTGCTCCAAATTAGCAGTAGACACGTAGCCAACTGAAACAGACAGAGACTAATTAGTTTCCTCTTCTGCTGTAATGTGCAGCACATGTAGTATTTCCTAAACCAACTCACATTTTCCTTCGCTGTTCCGGCCGATGAGTTTGTCATCTCCTGGATGAACGATCACATCAATGATTTCTCCGGGTTTGACTGGCAAGTCTTTATTACCAAACTTCTTTATAGACAGCGATTGGAGAACAGTAGCTTGATACAGCACTTTGATTTCCGCATTATACTGCAAGAAGAAGCAATGAGGGTTAGTATACAGAGTTATTCATTCACCATTCGTCAAACAAACGTATCTTACTTTAAACTTCTTCCTAAACTCTTTCTCCTCCTTCTCAAACTTTTTCTTTTTCTTCGGGTCCATCTCGTCTGTCTTGCTTGTTGAGCTGAACTTTGGAAAGCTGCGGTGAATGAGAGATGGAAAAAGATACAAAAGTGATTTTGACATATTCTGAAGAAAATGCAAAAGATGCTTATCTGTGCAAAACTCACTGCTATAACGTTGCAAAGGTGTTCAGAGCGGTTGCTAGGGCATTTTAGCCAGTTATATTGCTTGACAGGTGAAAATCCTAAGGCTGATTAGGACTTCTACATACACTACCGTTCAAAAGTTTGTGGTCAGTAAGAATAAAAAAAAGGATACTTTTATTCAGCAAGGACACATTAAATTGATCAAAAGTGACAGTAACAACACATCAAATAACCAGAGCCACAGTAAATGTGCCTTAATTGTTGTGAAAAAAATATCATGGTGAAAAAATCCTGAATCGTCCTACTATAGGATTCATTTTCATGGAAAATATAAATTTTTTGATGTCCTTATTTTGATGTCAAACATGAGTGTTTATTATTGTTTTATCATCTTAAGATAATTTTAAACTTCTTTTTGTAAAATGTATTGTTATATAACTAAATGTATGCAATAAATGACAATTGTTTTGATATTATGTAATATAATGCAATGACTTTAAGACATTAAGTGATTTAAGCAACCACTCAAAAGCTTGGGGGCAGTAAAATGCATTGTTTTTTTGCCACATTTGTAATAAATGCTGTACTTTTGAATTTTCTATTCATCATAAAATACTGAAAAAATATCAGTTTCCACAAAAATATTGAGCAGCACAACTGTTTTCAAATCCACATATTAGAATAATTTACACAAATAAATTACATTTTAAAATAGAATTGTATATTTAAATAGCAAACAGCTATTTACAATTGTAATCATATTTTTAAATATTACTGTTTGACTCTATTTTTTCAAATAAATGCAGCCTTGGTGAGCAAAAGGACTTCTTTCAAAAACATTAAAGGGTTAGTTCACCCAAAAATGAAAATTAGCCCATAAATTACTCACCCTCAAGTCATCCTAGGTGTATATGACTTTCTTCTTTCAGAGGAATCCAGTCGGAGTTATATTAAAAATTGTCTTTGATCTTTAAAGCTGTTTCATGGCACTCAGAGGGTGTTGCAGTGCTTCAGTCCAAAACAAGTTAAATAAAAAGCGCCCATCCATTAAAACAGCTTGAAAGATCAAAGACAATTTTTAATATAACTCCGACTGGATTCCTCTGAAAGAAGAAAGTCATATACACCTAGGATGACTTGAGGGGGAGTAATTTGTGGGCTAATTTTCATTTTTGGGTGAACTAACCCTTTAAAAAATCTTACCGACTCAACCTTTTGAACAGTTGTGTTACATAATGACTTGCCAAAATTTAAAAGTGACTTAAGCATTCATGGAAAAGCTCACTTACTACAAATTTGCTTACTAAAATAATATGAAAAAAAAGAACACATTTTCATAAAATGTTCTTCTTTTTGTAACATGCATGAACTAACCTGTTAGGAGACGGAGGAGGAGGGAAGTCTGCTGGAAAAATGTCATCATATGTCTCATCAATGGCACCTGTTGGACAGAAACCAAAAACCGCAGGCTCTGAGTGGAGCATTTACATTTACATTTATGCATATTGCAGACGCCTACATCCAAAGCAACAACAACACCGCATTCAAGGTAAACATTTTTGTAAATTCATTATGTATTTCCTGGGAATCAATTCAATGTTCTTGGCTTTGTCAGCGCCAAACTACAGAAACACTCAACCATTACATATGAGCAACCAATGACTGTATATTTTATGCATTTCTGAATGTTAAATTAAATCCAGTGCTGTTAAGATTATTCATATGGCTGTGCTTACACTAAATTCATATATTATATTAAATGTGCAGAGAAAATCCAGTATTACTCACACACACCATTAAATGTAAGAGGGTCTGGAGGGGGTGGAGGGGGAAAGCTGCAAAATAGCAGTAAAATTACAACAGATGGCAGTAAATCCACTATATACTGTATGTGCTTCAGTTTAAAAGGTGCTTTAAATTTACTTAGAAATTACTTTAGACCTTCAACTATCAGTGAGGAATTTGTATAGATTAGGGTTTTTTAATATGACACAATATTCTTTTTTATATAAATATAATATAAATGACTATACTATTATATAAAATGTATAAAATACATCCACATGTACTGTATTTATATACAAGTATGTTTAATATAAATGTTTAAACATTATTAATTATAAATAATATAATTTAAAATATTAATATTTGAATAAATATATGATAAGCTCAAAACCACTAAATTTAATAATAAATATTGCTTTAATATAAAAATGGAGATGATTTGGTTAATTTACATGATTCAGTTAATGTTTTTTATTCAGCTTTGCCATCACAGGAATAAATTATATTTTAAAATGTATTTAAAGAAAAATTGCTATTTTAAATTGTAATATAATTTCACAATGATTATATAAAATATAAATGAATTAATTAACAAAGGCTGCATTTATTTGCTCAAAAATACAATAAAAATACAGCATTTTCTATCAAATAAACGCAGCCTTGGTGAGCATAACAGGCTTTTTTCAAAAACATTAAAAGTCTTGCTGCACCTTACAGTAAGTGCTGAGCATGAAAATTAATTACTAAAACTTGCTGTCATAATTTTTTGGATGAATATACTGGTATTTGTGAAGTATTAAATGCTTTTGAACATGATTCACCTGAAATCAGCTTGTGGATCATCTGGACAATGATAAATATCATCATCACATTCAACTTCTGGCACTAGTCATGTGACAAAATCGTGCACAAGGGGAAACAAAAAATAATAATTTTTTTTACTTGGCACTCTTTTGCACGTGATTGCAATGTTATTTCATTTATATTTATTAAATGTATAATGCAATGTCTTACCATCTGGTAGACTGAAAAAAAGAGATGTTTTTTAGTAAAAAATATAAGTAACAATTAACCTGAATATGTTAATAATCTTTAACAAATGTACAAGTTACTCTCTTACTTATTGACTTCATCATCTGCGCACACATCATCATACACCTCCTGTTCCTCCTGTGTGCTTCCCACAACATCTAGAGTGTCAGGCTTCACAAAACCATCTACACGTAAAACACACCAACACAAAGTCAAAATAGCAGCTGAAAATGGTTAGAGACAAACAGGAAGCTTCAGCCTAATAAAGACTGAGCATGTTCAGTTTAGCAGCTCTTGTTAGCAAATAAACATGACTGAATTCTTTACAAAGTAAATACAGTGCAGTGCAGCAGAGTAACTCACAGAGGCCTTCAGTGTTTCTGGCGAGCCAATAGTCTTTTGGGTTTTCTGTTTTACGTACAATTTCAATGCTCTCTCCCTGCTTCAGTGGAAGTTTGTTCTTTCCACCCTTGTGATCCACACTGGCCTTCGCGGTTTCAACCACCACAATCGGACCCTTGATCTATCCGAGCACAAACAGCAGTGATGGTGTAAGTTTCTTACAGTCATTGTCACTTATTAATGTTAGCATTAAAAAAATAAACAAATAAACATGTTTACAAAACTGCAACAAAATTACAGTTACATAATGTCTATGGGAAAAACTTGTGTAAAGTGAGTATGGGTCACAAAATGAAAAAATTAAATAATAATAATAATAATGAATGAAAAAAATACACATATACATACATATATATATTTTCATACATATATTTTTTTTTCACTCCTTCAGTGTTTCTGGCGAGCCAATAGTCTTTTGGGTTTTCTGTTTTACGTACAATTTCAATGCTCTCTCCCTGCTTCAGTGGAAGTTTGTTCTTTCCACCCTTGTGATCCACACTGGCCTTCGCGGTTTCAACCACCACAATCGGACCCTTGATCTATCCGAGCACAAACAGCAGTGATGGTGTAAGTTTCTTACAGTCATTGTCACTTATTAATGTTAGCATTAAAAAAATAAACAAATAAACATGTTTACAAAACTGCAACAAAATTACAGTTACATAATGTCTATGGGAAAAACTTGTGTAAAGTGAGTATGGGTCACAAAATGAAAAAATTAAATAATAATAATAATAATGAATGAAAAAAATACACATATACATACATATATATATTTTCATACATATATTTTTTTTCTTTCTTTTTTTTACAATTATGTAACTGTTGATTTGTTATAAACAAAATTACAGTTACTCAATGTCTATGAGCAAAGAAACTCATAAAAACTGAGTCTGGGTCACGTTTCACGCCAAAATAAATAAATAAATGTATACATTTATAAACATAAAAATACATTTTTATATATAGAATGAAATTTTTTAGGGGGGGGTGGTGGATGCAAATTTAACCTCAAAATCAAAATTGCTATTATATTTCACATAAACAGAATATATAGTTCATATACATATGTATAAATATAAATATATAATTTTCCTCCATGATCACAGTGGTATACAGTATATATATATATATATATGGGTCAAAGACGTTAAGATGTCCGCATCAAAAGAAATGTACAAAAGTGATTATATGTCCATAGAAAGCACATTAAATGTAAGTAAAGTGTCTACTTTTAAGATTTCAAATAAGTTTTTGGAGAATAAAATGTCAAAATTTGGTTGAAATAATGTTACATTGTCATTCAGTGTAACACAATATTTATGTAAAATTCAAACAACATGCTTCTTCTGACGTGTACATATTAACATATATAAAAGAATAAGAGAGCATATTCAATTTTATTGTGTTTTAAATTAGTAAAAATTTCTTCCTGACAGATATTTATTTTTTGCTCAGAAAAACAAAAACAAAATTGCAATTAAATTAAACAGAATTTTTTTGGGGGGAAAATAACAATTTAAAGCAGTATTACACTTATTGTTTTTATGCTTAAACCCTTTTTCGTCTTTGACCCATAATATACTGTATACTGTATATATATATATATATATATTTATATAGTATATAACAGCTACAAAAAACACTGCAATCCACACAACATAATGGGAAACTGTCGATGCCAGAGAAAGCTGTCTGAAAGGGATGTTTAGGTAAAAAATAAATAAATAAATAAAACCATAGCTCACCAAATCACTGCAGAATTAAATGTTCACCTCGACCTTGCATATAATGATTAATTTTTTTTTAAATCAGCATAAACTTATTTATATCATCATAAATAAAATCCAGTAAAACAAGTACCACTATGATCATAGAGGAAAATGATATACAAATAAATAAAAACAAATGTCAAAAAATAATGTCATAAATAATCGTAAAATAAATCTTCTATTTATGTGAAATATAATATCAATTTTGAGGAGAAATGTGTCTCCAGATGTGTTCTTGACAGGTTTTGTGAGATAAATAATATAATGAAATAAAATAATGAAAATGAAAATAAATCCAGCAGCACTGAGCTGTTTGTAATCACTTTAAACTTTTTCCTGGCGTCCTGCTCCCTTTTCTCTATCTCTTTCTTCTCTCTCTTCTCCTGCTCCAAGCGTTTCTTCTCTTCTTTTTCCAGCTTTTTCTTGAGTTCCTTTGATTCTTTTGTCGTCTTTTCTTCTTTCTGTTCTTTGTTTTCCTCTGGCCTGTGTAGAGGAGAGTGTTCCATTAGCAGAATTTTAAGTGAGTTTTCCTTCTTTTTCTTCATAAATCATATTAAAATTTGAGCCCAATTGATATGCAGCCTTTGCTAAAGACTAACCAATTACATTTTCTGAAGAAAACGTGAGCAGCATTTGCCTGTGCAAAACGTGCTAGTATGATGCTAGGGTACTGCTTCACAAGTTTGTTGAAAATTACTTAAAGTAACAGTGAAGGACAAGTGAAAATTAATACTTTGGTTCAGGGGTTTGCTCCAATTATTAAATATTATGAGCAATAGTAAATTAATTAATACTCGTACATTAAATGAACACTCTCACCAATTGTGATCAAGATCCTCGTACATGTCCTCGTCTGACTCCTACACAAGAAACAAACATAATCATCACTGGCTTTGTAAAAGTTACTACATCAAAACCAATGAACTGTAATTAGTGACCTTCTGCTCACTAGAGTCCATTATAATGACCGTGTTGTGAATGCTGTCATTTCATTTTGAGATTCTGATTCATTTGCAGAAGTGTCTCAGCAGCCATATGTTATGCAATTTAAAACATCTCTAAAGAGATGTCAGTTTATACAGTATAATTACACACAATGAACATTTCATCTTTACCTCAGGGTCATTGCTGCTTTTACCTAAAACAGAAAGAGACGTCAGTAATACAGAATTAAAAATAAAAAAAAAAGACAAACAAACCTCAGCACTAATGATGGAGGAAATCGGAAGTCACACCTAATGTCTAAATGTGACAGCATGTGAGATATTTTGTAAGGCAATGGCATTCAGACATTAAGTAGCCAGATATTTCTTAGGGTCACTATATGTATCAAACATTAATATTAAATAACTTCTCTGTGAATGGCACCTAGTGAAGTCTCCATCCGGCTCATGACGTCTGTATCATCGTAATAACCCTCCTCATCCCTGTTCACAACAGAAGAAACACTTTTAAACTGCAACTTCACATCTTTGTCTTAAAAGAAAAAAAAATGTGTACTACTGCATTCCCTCAGAAAAAGAAACTGTGCTACAGTATACAATATCAGGGTGGTAACACTATAAAATTAATGTGTGAATTTTGCAAAAAGCATTGTGGTAATGCAAATACTAATGTATTGTTATTTTACCATTGTACTGAACTATTACCATATTCATGTAACAGCATTTGTGTATTTTTTACTCATGTGCCACTCCAAGGTACTTCATTAGTAAACCCCCATTGTATTACTACAGAACCTTGTCCTAAAACAATAAATAAATGAATCAAATAAAAAGTATTAAAATAATTATTTTCAATTATTTTCTTTTTTGGAAAGTATTTCATATTTGTATATTTCTATTGTATTGTAATGACGTGTAAATCTCCAGAATGATTACTGATGCTGTTTTTAAACGTATCTCAAAGTGAGCACTCACACTGGAGGGGGAGCAGGTGGAAATGTGAAGGGTGGTGGTGGGGGTGGAGTCACAGATGTGATTGACAGGCGTTCTGGAGGCGGTGGGGGTCGGAGGGAGAAATTTTCCTCAGGGTTGCTGGTGTTGGATACTGATGAACCAGCAGACAGAAACAGAACATGAAGCGACAAGTGCATATATATTTACTAGAGGTTATAGTTCACAATTCAGGGAAATACCTTTTGGATGTTTAGACCAGAATACAATTGGCCCAGAAAGTTTTTGGACACACTTTATGAATTCCATTAGGTAACAACACATCAAACCACCAGAACCAGAGAAAATGTGCTTAATTACTGCGAAAATAACGTTATAATGCAAAAATGGTTCTACTATAGGATTCATTTTCATTATGCAAAATATCATTTGCTTTTTTTTTACTTATATTTTTTATTATTATTATTTTTAAAAGTTTAGGGCCAGTAAGATTAAATTTTTTATCAAATTAATATTTTTATTTGCATTAAATTGATAAAAAAAAATTCAGTAAATAATTTTATAATTTTTTACAAAAGATTTATATTTCAAATAAGTGCTGTTGAACTTTTTATTCATCAAAGAATTTTGAAAAAACATATCACAGTTTCCACAAAAATATTAAGCAGCACACGTTTTCAACATTGATAATAATAAGAAATGTTTCTTGAAGAGCAAATCAGCATATTAGAATGATTTGATTTCTGAAGGATCACGTGACACTGAAGACTTGGAGTAATGATGCTGAAAATTCAGCTTTGATCACAGAAATAAATTACATTTTAAAATTAATTCAAATAGAAAACCGTTATTATAAATTGTAATAATATTTCACAATGTTACTGTTTTTACTGTATTTTTGACCAAATAAATGCAGCTCTGGTGAGCATTAGAGACTTCTTTCAAAAACACTAAAAAGAAATCTTTCTGACCCCAATTTCTTGAACAGTAATGTGTCCAAAATCTTACTGGTATTGTGGGTGTAAATTCACATTATTTCAGACATCTAAAAAGAATGAACTGAATCTTTCTCTGAATAAAAACACATCAGTTTAGCTTAAATGAGCTTCATCATTGAGGTCCGTATCTTACCATTCCCTCTGAACTTGCTGAGGTTAACATGTGGAGGTCTCTGTGGTTTGGCAGGACATTTTCCTAAAGCAAACACACTGGGAAGAGACTTATTTTTTGGCACTGACAAATCACCAGTAGCGGTTCCCGGTGCTGCAGAGATCTTTTCATGGAGAACAGGTTTCTGCATAATAGGCAGTTTGGCAGGAATCTGGAATCCGGCTCCAGTGGGGGCTTGTGTAAAAGCGTTCTCCTGTTTTCCTCTATTGGGCAGCTTCACTCCTACAGCATCACTTCTCGAGTCACCATTGGTCTTGTTGTTAGAAACTGGAGGATTGAATCTAGCCTCCATAGAGTTAACCATGAAGTTGGGTTTGACCATGAGTGGCCTGGAGCCTGCGCCTTTATTCATGTCCACAGGTTTAAGTTTCGCCAGCTTGGGGATCAACACTGGATTCTGGTCATGATTCCCGGCGCTGCTGAATTGATTGTTCTGAGCAGGTTGGGAAAACAAACATTCGCCAGCCAGTGAGTTAAAGTGAGACATCAGGGATTGTACATTAGAGGCCTAAAAATGTACAACATAAAAAAAACATTGGCAACACTTTACAATAAGGTCTCATTTGTTAACATTAGTTAATGCATGAACTAACTGAGCAATATATTTTGACAGCATCTATTAAAGGGCACATATTATGCAAAATCCACTTTTACATGGTGTTTGGACATAAATGTGTGTTGGCAGTATGTGAACACAACCAACCTAGAATGATAAAATCCACCCACTCCTTATTTTTTAATTCCTATTAAACCAAACCAGTCTCATTAGGCATGCCGTTTTGATTCTCTTAGCATTGTGACGTCCATAGACTGTATAAAAACATGGACGTAGTGTCCGTGACGTCACCCGTAGGTTTCCGAAGAGCGTTTTTGAAGCCTAAAGTAGGTGGAGCTGGCCATCGCCATCTTGGCAGCGCGTCACTCCCGGATAATCGAAAATGGGCAAAGAGGCGGGAGCTGGTTGCTGAAACCACGGCCACCAAGCTTGACGGTGGTGACAGCAGCGGAAATCCACGTGTCACTCAAGTGGCCACGCTCTTAATTATGCAGAACTTTAAGGCTTAATATCATTTAAACGGATGAATTATAAAAAATTCACCCCCCTCACAGTTGTCATGAAGGGCAAAATTAGCTATATAGACCAAAACCACTTTTTGGACCAGGCTGTAAGCATATTTTTTTCTGCTGTAAAGTTGGGCATTTTAACATGGGGAGTCTATGGGACTGACTCCCTTTTGGAGCCAGCCTCTAGCGGCCAGTCGATGAATTGCAGTTTTATTCACTTCCGTGTTGGTTTCACTAGAGAGACCGGAAGGTTGCCGCTTGGTGATGTCACAATGTTTAGGCCCCGCCCACAGCCGCTGACTGACAGTCCTGCATTACCATAGTTTCCGCCCTCAGTGAGTTGTACGCTGTCCTCCATTTTCTCCGCGCTCGAGAAGCTGTAATGTCAACGTCTAGTAAGCAATTCCGGTGTTCTGTGTTTGGCTGCAAGACTGAACAAAAGAGTCTTCATTTTCTCCCAACATCTGAGCCACTGAGGACTCAGTGGATTACTTTTGTTTTTGAAGGTAATGCGCCACAAAATCTACCTAAATACGTAACGTTATATGTCTGCACAAACCATTTCACTCCAGACTGCTCTGTGAATGTCGTTATAGTGCTTAGCTAACATTTTAACCATATTTGTGTGTGTATGTTATTGAAGTATTTGAATTGATCAGCGTCATGCTGGTAAGATTAGTTAGCGCGGAGCTGTTAGTTCGGTGGCACTAGCAAACACGTCCTCCCTGCGCTGTCGAGTCGGTCGCACGGCAGCGAGCTCTTTAACATCGCGCTGTTTTGTCCCACTTTCAGTGTGTTTGGCTTCCCATATGTACGGCTGAACACTGGTTCTCTCGCTCTCAGGGTGTGTTCACACTTGTCATGTTTGGTTCGATTAAAACAAACCCTGGTGCGATTGCTCTGTTAGTGCAGTTCATTGGGTGTATTCACACCTGTCTTGTTTGGTTCGATTGAATCGAGCTCAAGTTCGTTTCTCCCCTTGGTGCGGATCTTTTGGGCAGGTGTGAATACAGCAATCGCACTCGAGTGCAGACCAAACAACCACACTGAGACCCAGCTGAAGAGGTGGTCTCGGTCCGGTTCCAAACAAACTCTGGTATGCTTGAGAATTTCTGTCCAATGAATGGATGACCTTAGCACACGTGTGGTTTTGTTTACAATTTCTGGTTCACTTGTAAAAAGGCCAGTGTGAAAGTGAACCACACCAACCAAAAAAAAATCAACATTGTATTTGGTCTGGACCAAAGCAAGTGAACTAGCGGACTTTCCTGGTGTGAATACAGTGTGAACGCTGCCATCCGAAACCTGGTGCGCACCAGCGGACCGAGACCGCTAAAAAGATGGGTCTCGGTCCGCTTCCAGACGAACTCTGGTGCGGTTCGAATGAAATATGAATGCAACACGGACCAAATACTTATAAACAAACCAAAAACAGGAAGTAATGACAAGATGTGACGCAATGCGACATGATTTGACGACGCAGAACGAGCGGTGTATCCCAAACAAAATGAGCAGAGGGCAAACGTGGAGCAACGAGGAGGTAAAGTGCCTTTTATGAGCTCTTCGTGAGTTCGCAGGTAGTGAAAATAAAATCATAAGTACACGCAGCAATGAGCGCGCTTAGTCCAGCAGACGGCATTAGGTGTGTTCGACTTAAAGCGGCACTGAGCAGACCGATCAGTGAATGGGTGCTTTGATGTCAAACACTCAATCGCTCTGCGCAGCGCCGCTTTAAGTCGAACACACCTTTTGATTTGGGTGTTCGGTGAGTTCTGTCGCGAAATATACGTCATTCAACCTGACCAATCGGGTTGTGAACGTATCACTATGCCTTTAGGTTCGGTATCTTTAGGTTCGCTGTCAAAAATGCCAGTGTGAACGCACAGCGGACCAGGACCAAATGTATCATTTTATTTTTTGGTTCGGACCAAACGAACCAAGAGAACCTAACTACAAGTGTGAATGCACCCTGTCAGTCTACTGGCTGTTTGTTGCTGTAGGTTTGCAAAGCAGAGATGTATACCAAAGACGCAGAGATGGGCGGGAATATGCAGCTCATTTGCATTTAAAGTGATACACACCAAAACAGCTCTTTTGTTTAGACACGCCCCAAAAAGGACATTTTCCAGATATAATAAATTATCTGTGGGGTATTTTCAGCTGAAACTTCACAGACACATTCTGGGGGTACCCAAGACCAATATTACATCTTGTAAAAAGGGGCATAATAGGTGTTATTTAACAAAAATACAATTGCTCGGTGTTCATGTTAGTTCACAGTGCATTAACTAATGTTAACAGATATAATTGTGATTTTAAATATGCATTACACTGAAAGAAGTTTTAACTCAGTAATTCTAGTCAATTTTACAAATAATTACAAAGAAATGGCAAGTAACACATTAAATTGAACATGAAAGTTGAAAGACTGAAATATTTTTGGACACACTTAAAATCATCATCTGTACATAAATCTTCTGTTCCAGATTTGACATTATTATTTTTTTTTTTCTTTAGTCTCATTTAATTGTTCTTTCTGTTCTTATGCCATATATGTATGTATGTATGTACCCAGAGCTCCTAAAAAACACAACAAATTCCTTGTTTGCGCACGCTTGGCGAATAAAGCTAATTCTGATTCTGAAAATCATTTAAATGAGTCCTCTAGCACCAAGTACGACATAACTTCGTAACTCACCCCATGTTTGTATGAAGCCACATCAAATTGTGTGGCTTGTTGAGGAGACGTGTGCTATGACTTTTTTATGCAATTGAACTTGTATGGTGGGCAATAAAATGGAGCAAAAAATCCCATAAACTTACAGTAAATGGGGGCCTATAGATACCTGATTCTGTTTCAAAACAATAATTGGTAACACTTTACAATTAGATTCATTAGTTAACTACTTTAGTTAACATGAACTAAGAATGAACAATACTTCTACAGCATATATTAATCTTAGTAATGCCAATACTTACTAATGCATTATAAAATCAAAAGTTGTGCTTGTTAACATTAGTTAACGCACTGTGAATTAACAAACTATGAACGACTATTTTCATTAACTAACATTAACAAAGATTAATAAATACTGTAATAAATGTATTGTTCATGTTAAATACATTAACTAACATTAACTAATTGTAAAGTGTTACCGATTAATTTAAAATATACAAAAAAATGCTGCAATTGTGATATATATGGAGTCAAAACAGTGTAATAAAGCACTCGCAATTTCAAGAAAGAATATAAGAAAAAGTCTCAGTTGTAAGTAGACCATGACTAGTTGCATAAACTACAGAGAGTAATTCCCCCAAAAAACTTTCGGTGATCAGTTCTTAAAAGAACCATTATTTCTTAGTGTGAAAAACATTTTAAAAAACCAAAGAACTTTTTTCCACTATAAAGAACCTTTTGTGGAACGTGAAGGTTCCATGGATGTTAAAAGTTCTTCATGCAACCAAAGATGACAATAAAGAACTTTTGTTTTTAAGAGGGCAACAACACTAAAAGCCACTCTGAACACTTTAGCAACACAAAATTGCTGAAGTGTTAACTAAAGTAGTCAACTAATGTTAACTAATGAACCTAATTGTAAAGTGTTACCAATTATTGTTTTGAAACAGAATCAGGTATCTATAGGCCCCCATTTACTGTAAGTTTATGGGATTTTATGCTCCATTTTATTGCCCACCATACAAGTTCAATTGCATAAAAAAGTCATAGCTTTTTTATGATATCACTGAATTCAATTAACTGCCTTTAACTGAAAATTGAGTGTTTACTACTGTCCTTTTGCACTGACACACTATTTTCCTATTTTGATACTGTTAAACTGCTTTGACACAATCTGTATTGTTAAAAGCACTATATAAATAAAGGTAAAAAAAAAATCCTTGCATGCACAGTCAATACAACTCACATTTTCTTCAGAAAATATAAAAAATAATAAAAAATATTTATTAACTATAATCACTAATGTTATAATTAATGCAGCAATATACAAACCCCTCTTAAGCAGGCTATACTGCTAAAAACATGTTGAATAATTTAGACTGTTAAACTGTGTGTTCACACCTTTAGGGTTCCGCCTTTACACAAGCCACTCTTTACATTCACAAGCGTGAAAAACCCTGAGAATTTGTATACTGCTGTCTGCTTCTTCAAAATGCAGCTAAATGATCAATATTATTGCATTCTTATCAAACACATCATATAATTATCAATCCTGATAAGAAAATCCACAAGCATCAAATCACTATTGCTATTATAGCATCTGCTCTAATATGCTGCACTAACACAAGTATAATCAAGAACTAAACCATCAACAGCAAACTGAAAAATCATAATAAAAGACGCTCCTTTAAATAAATCAGCACGATCGCTCAGTGAACTCACCCAGCCAGTGAATAAGTATGTGTGCAAGAATACAGTGGCTCTGAAACGAGTGAGAATCACAAATACACCCAGAGGAAATGCATGTTTCCATTACTTTAATAAGGAAGAGGTGTAACCAGGGTTTCACTATCGAGCATCACTACCCTGATCTGGGGTCAGGTTTATCATCAGCTCAAAACCACAGTCTAAGTTTTTGGCCTTTCAGAGTGAGAAACAACACAAACTCTGGCCAGGTGGTCAAATGCCTATTATACAAGCATAAATGATAATATAATCTCTGGTGTTTATTTGAGGAGCATATGAAGGTCAGTCTTCTAATTCAGAACGCCACAAAAATCTTTCACCAATAGCACTGCTGAAAGCAAAGAGCAGGACTCACCATAATGATGGCATGTGCTGGAACAACGGTCACTAGGTTATTAGTTTGTCTGTGGAGTCTTTTCAAGGAGTGTGGTTGAAAGAATGGGAGAACTGATGACTAACAACTTTTTTCTTCCTCCTTAATGGCATAAACGTTTGAGCAAAACACATTCATTTGAATCAGTGAGTGAGAAATATGTATTTATAGGGCAAAGAGAACTTACAAATGTAATTAATCATTTCAATTCAAATCTGATATGACTTTGCATAGTATGTGTGATAAGAAGGATTGTGTGTTTGTATGAAAGCCAGTCATAATTGAAACTAAAACGAGGACAATTAACCACTGACCTTAAGGGGTGAATCTTGCAAAAATATATCGAGGTTTTCACCTCAAGATTACAAAATATAAATTATATTATATAATTATACTATAAATGATGTTATAATTATAATTTATATTATATTACTATATAATTATAAATCATATTTTGCTAGAAAATTAAGCCTGCACTTTTCTCTGACACATTATTTTCATAACAATTAAGCACATTTTTCCAATTTTTTTAAAATTACAACTATGCTCAAAAGTGATAAAGGCAGTTCAAAAATACTACCAT